TCACAAAACAAATAGTAAATAGCTGCAGCATGGCACAAATCTAAAAGTTGTGAATGGCGGCAGTGCAAAGCGTGAATGACTGCATCACGAGGCAAATCCAAAAAGTAAAAGTGTGAATGGCAGCAGTGGTGAAAGGTGACAACCACTGGAGCCCGTTTTCTCTTACTTAATTAGGTGATGGCTGTGGATGGTTTGAAGTTCCGAAGGCCTGATGATCGTAGTAATACGTGAAACTCACAGTTGTAACAAGGCTTCCAAACTCTCTCTTGTGTTCCGAAGATAGTACTTATTCTCGTGGCGACACTTTGACACAAGCTCACTCCTTTTGTCGAGAGAGAGAGAGAGAGAGAGAGAGAGAGAGAGGTGCTTGGGTGCTTGCGCGATTGCCAATCTTTCCGCCAGGCACAGGTTGCACCTTTTGCTTTTGTTGCTATAGGCCGCTGCTCTGCGGTGTACTGCCCATTGAATGCTGCATGCCTTCCCTTCATCCTTGTTGGTCCAGACGTACTGCGATAGGCGGGTGTCCTTCTCGTGTTGTCTGTGGCGGAATGAGGATTGGTGGTTATAGAAGCGTTGTTTGAATGTTGTTGCTACTAATCCAGTATACTCCTTCTTCTCTATACCTGCGGTGACTCTTGCCTTATACACGATGCTCTCCGTTAGACACGCTCCATCCAGTGGACGTGAGTCTTTCGCCCGACAGTTACAAGTCCTGGTGTCGTTGTCACCTCCGTTAGCTTGTTTCTTGGGTCGTAGAATCGTGTTATTGTGTTGTTTGATGATAGTGGCCATATTCTGCATGCAACTGTAGCTAACCTTAACCAAGTTCCGGTTGAAGATTTTGTTGAGGCTTGAGCCTTTGGGGAAGTGTGTGGCCACTAACTGGAGGAAGCGATTTCCGACGTCGGTGGCGACGTTCTTGCTAAATGGTGGATTGAACCATGTGATGTGCCGGGAGCAATTACTTTAACGTAGATTTTCTATAATAGTTCAATTTTGTTTCAGTGTCCTTTAGTACAACGACGATTCCTGATGAGTGTTGTACGAAAACTTGTTTGAATCCATATTTTTCTCTACACTATTTCTTCATATTTTCATCGTTTTATTGCACATCGTCTCCAACGTTTTACATTGCATGAATAAAGTACACAAATGTCGGTTCAGCTCGTCTTAATGATTGCGGTTATCAAATCATTGTCGCCTCGCCGTTTGTTTTAAATAATCGGATTTTCTGGCGTTTTGTAGGCTCGAACCAGGGACCTTGCTATTCGCGAGCAATGCTCTATCCAACTGAGCTACAGTATGACTCTTATCCACAGTGATGGTAAATCTATCCTTCTTCGATCAATCAATATCTGGCTTGCATCATACTGGCAACTCACACCAATCAAGAGGGCCCTCGGCCATTCGCTTGAATATCATGGGGAGCGCATCAAACTATGTCCACTTTTCTTTCTTTCATATCTGGCTTGCAAGTGTTGTGTTTCGGAGAGAAAAGAGCTGTACGTGGCATGTGGCCTCAAATTTCCTAACACTTTAAATGTCGGTCCAGCTCGTCTTAATGATTGCGGTTATCAAATTATTGTCTCCTCGCCGTTTGTTTTAAATAATCGGATTTTCTGGCGTTTTGTAGTAATTCATAACATAACTTTACAGTTCCCTATAATACGCATCCTGTCCGACGGCAAAAGAGGCTGCAGATTTAGTTGTTCTGCACGTTATCGGCAATGACTGCTGGTCCTCAGCAACTTGGGTCTCCTGTAATACGAACCATCCTGTCTATGCTTTCGTAATGCTAACATAATGCTCGGGATAGCACTCGCTACTGATCTTCAGAAACTTGGCCTGACTTTCACTCACAATAAGACTGTTTTAATGGTCATCGTTCCCAAGCGGTCGCTGGTTTCTCCTACAATAATAGTAATAATGCAAGTAAGTCACCAGGAGTTTGCTGATGACATGGTCCTCGGATAAATACCTTGTGTGCAATGTTCTCTTAAGTGCTGTCTCGAAACTTGCTGATTGGCTGTGCAGTATTGGACTTGTTCTGAACTCCGCCAAAATGCAAGCGTTGTTCATCCAGCCCCGTGGCTGTTTCAATGCCATGCCTGGTATTTATTGCAATGATATCCGTCTGTCAGTCACCACAACAGCGAAGTATCTTGGAGCCCTTGTGGACGACCAACTCTTTTGGCAACCGCATGTCGAACAGTTTGTACGCAAAGTGTCTGTTGCTGTGGGACAGCTCTGGCGTCATGGACGAGCACTGTCAATCACTGCACGTCGCCTATGGTATATAGCAATAATTCAGTCTAGATTCACTTATGCATCTAATTCCTTTTTTCCGTGCCTCACAAAGCAGTTAGTCACCCGCCTACTGAAAGTCAGCATGTCTGGCGTTCGCGCCATATTCCAATTGCATGGCGCCGTGGCCACTGGGCCACTGCGCACGCGCCTCTCACTTTATTCTGTTGAGCACCTTTTCATCTACAAAGTCTTGCAGTTTGTCTTTCGTTGTCTGTCCTCATCAGCCAGATCATTGTTTCTGCCTTACTTCAAGTTTATCTCTGCCGACCCCGTCGTGCACGTTGATTGTCCCTTCACAAGGGGTCAAGCCACTCAGCTTCTCCATATCCCCTTTCTCCCTGGACAATCTGGACGGCACACTATGCATTTTCTTGGTAGCTCCCTCTGGAATGCCCTATCTGACCAGATCATAATTGTCCCCAATCTTGCGTTATTCAAATCCTCTATATCAAAAATAATATTCTCTCGACCAAAGAGTGGTATATTTGATAAAAATTAATAACGATAGAAATATTTACGATACTTTTCCAGACGTTTCGTTGTTCTGAACAACATCGTCAGTGGATAAAGAACTCGTCGAGAAAGAATACTTTTTGATATTACAATGAGAGTGAATAATCAACGGCTTGTCCACCAACTCTTCAAATCCTCTATCTCTGATCTTGATCTGCCATCTCTTCATGGATGATTTACTCCATTCGACAATGCAAGACTTGATCATTCGGCAAGTCTTCCTCTTCTTCCTTCTCTCTCTCGTTCATCTCTATCTATCTATCTCTCTCTCTCTCTCTCACACACACACTCTCTCTCTTTCTCCCACGCACACACACACTCTCTCTCTCCCCCACCCCCCTTTTCTCTCTCTCTCTCTCCCTATACTTTTATCATAAAACACAAGTAGCATCTTCACTATCCATAGCCCTTCAATATGGAATCCACAAACTGCCCTCTCCATATTTTTTAGTACGGAATATATAGCTGACAAAGTACAATTTTTTTCTTTTCTTTTGCTTCACATTATCATATTCATCAATTAGTAGAAGCCGTGGTTGGCTCTGGCCATCCCGGCAAGAAGGCATATATGCCTGTTCAATTGGTGAATAAAAATAAAAATAACATACCATAATAATAGTAATAACTTTATTAGGATGACCCAAAGGCAATTTCATCATCGGCGTACTGTTGTACGACATGCTATACGATCTACTTATACCGTACAATTCCGTATTGATGTCTGGCGCTGTCGCCTTCATCTCTGGCGCGGGTGTAATCTAGTGACTTCGTACATGCGTTATAATAGACCAATCCCTTTGTCTGGGTTCGTGAAAAGGGCCATGCGTGCAAGTCAGCTCGTGTTTTTATGGGACGGAGAGACTTTTGCTCCCCGAGCTTGTGTATGTAAATAGTGTTTTACGTTGACCATGACGGCTCGCTTTGAAGTACAGAACGGCTGCTCCGATCCGAACTCTAAAGTCAGAAAAATAATAATGGCTACAATTCCCAACCATACCACAACGAACTGATCGGCTACATCTTTGTATTGCAAAAAGTTTTCATCTGTTCGAACAACATTCATGATGAGCTAGGCAAAAAAAGCATAGCGTAGGGCCCTGAGCGAAATAAATAAACTTTCTCTTTGCATTCGAAGGTAATACGACAAAGTTTACCACCTTGATGACCTATGCAAAAAAGCATAGGGATGCAATAATTTTATAATTTCTCCTATTTTTTCAAGACATGAACCTAGGATTCGAACCCGCACGATCGCCCTGCATGCATTCCCCGATACATTTCGCATACATACTCATTCTTCCAAGAGGCGTTTGTTGTCACCGTACCTGCAGAGTACAATTTTCACAGCAAGATAGTCGTAAGAGGCTTTTACGACTCCCTGGTTCAAAGGTTCAACTCGAGTGACATAAACGGGCCCAAACATGCTGTAAATAAGCACGTGACCGCTTACTCAACCGTGTTCGATTGGGTATAAGGGCCGAATGCTGCATCGCAGCCTTTTCCGACCAAAACCAGTCAACTCAGCGGCCAAAAGACTACAACATATGGACCAATCGCGGTCATCGGTGCTTTTATAAGAACGAAACGGCGTTTTTAGTGACTTTTCCATACAAATCCCTATCTAGTAGGGCACAGTCACCCAGTTTAGGTGGAA